AATTGATTAGAAAAGTGACTCTTCCTAACATCTCATTGCCCCAATTCAACCTTCTTTGCATCACAAATTCTTCCATTTTTCATTCCATAACAATTTAGATTCCATTGTTCTTATAATTTAGAGTTTTGTGGTGATATTAAGTGTGAACTCTTCTCTAAGAGTGTTGGAGAAGGAGAAAAGTCAGAGATTTTTTCTTCCTACATTTCCTAAAAGAGGCTACAAGGGATTTGTTTTGTGAAAGAGTTTCAGATAAGTGTTGTTTGTTTATTAGTGTTATATGAAGTTTTTTTTATATATGAAATTTGTGTTTTGTTGTATCTTTCTCATGAAGTCTGAGTAGTTTACTTTATCTTTCTCCCTACTCTGAGATTTGATGAAATTAAGAGATAATATGGATGTGCCAATATTAAAATATAAAATAAATTAATGTAGTGTCAGGCCTTACTCTGAGATCCATAAGATAATATGGATCTCCCTACTCTGAGATATGGTGAAATGAAGAGATAAATATAAAATATGAAGATATTATCTTTCTCCCTATTGTGATGATTTTTCAACTCTGAACTTAATTTACTTTTTGATCTGGCCAATCGAATTGTTAAAATAGCCAATCGAATTGTTAAAATATATAATTGTTAAAATATATTGTGAAACATATAATTCAAAAAATGGAGTATGAGTTCCACGACACAGTGAAGATCATATTTGATTCCATTAAGGAGAAGTTTGTTCATGGAATTAAGTACAAAGAAATATGAGAAATATACTTTGTTGGGTATAGAATTAGAGAATCTTTAGGGTGACAGACTAAAATCCCCAATTCAGTCTTAGTGTTTAAAAACTAAAGCGAGAGTTAGCCTTCAGGTGAAGAGAAGAGGGAGCTCTGGAGTGGGAGCCAGTATCCTCCTAGCCTAACCATGGATTTAGGGACTAAACCTGGGATTAGCCAATGATTTTCTATAACGCTGTATCAGGGTAGAGAATTAAAACTGCTCATATTTGGCACAATACATATTTGAACCATTTATCTTATCTCATTTTACCAAAATCTCATTGTAGTGGGAAAGATGTTTTTCACATAAGAAATCTTCATCACATAAACATAATTTAATAGTTTAGTAGTTACTGTTTAAACTCTGTATTTCAGTTTTGTTATTAGTTAAAAAATTTAGTTCAGATAATATCTCAACATTCGAAATTAGTGACAGTAACTTTGTTTTGACTTTTTGTGAATTTTCTAGTAAATTTATCATTTCAAATTTAAACAATCCCTGTGGGATCGATATTTGGGGCTTAAATAGAAAGTCATTTATTACTTGATAACGATATGTATACTTGTGCGATCCTAATATTAATTGCTTAAATTTCTAATTCATAAAATATTGCATCAAGCTTTTGGCACCGTTGCATAGCGGAGTCAACTATATAATTTTTACACAGCTATATTCGTATAGTGGGATCAGTTTTGTGTGACACTGCTGGAATTTCAGAGTTAATGCCAACCACACTTTCTTCTACAGAAATTTAGCTAGTGTTACAATGGTAAATAAAAAGACTGAACAAAAAAGAACTACAAAGTTACCAATCATTCGACCTATTTTTGATGAACGAAAGCTCTTTGCGGCTAGCAAAGGTGCACCACTATGAAGATCCTTCTCAGTCGGTGGTGGTGGAGGAACATTTTCCGCTATTGGAGTCTCATTTAGCATAGCCTTGTCGACTAAGCGATGGAGGAGCATCACCTTGAGTGGTTTTCGTGGCTAGAGAGTGAAGCATAGTGAAGTCCGGTGGAGAAACTTATGCAATCGTTCCTGAAGGCTCCCTTTCTTGAGGCGGTACTTGGGTCTGACGCTAATGATGCACTAAAGGGTCCAATACCCACCCC